GAATTTAGTCATTCAATTTTATTAATTTCATAACATTTTCTTCTCATACTCATTGTTGTTAGCTTCCGATTTCCCTCCCTCCTCTCTGCCATGGCCCTAGACATTTATCAATCCAGTTACTGCCTCTATAAATCCATCTATCTTGGGTTTCATATGCAGAAAATTATACAAGACACAAACAAGAAACTGACAAATAAAACAAAACAAAAAACAATGACTAGACAAAACATAGAGAAACCTCAATGAAAAAAAGCAGAAAATATTCAAAACTGAGCAATTTTAAAATGGGTCAAATGGGAGGTCAAATGATAAGATACTGTATTTTAACCAACTACATCTGCAGTCATCAACTTTCCAATACTCTCTGTCCAATAGCAATGCTATTCATATCCTTCAACTATGATCAGACAACATTCATCAGAGGCTTAATCCACATAGGGCTCTGGCAAATAGATCTTGGACTTCTGTCATCCATAGCCTTCTGCAAGCCATGTGTTCAGAATTTAAGCTCTGGTACCATTCCTTCTTTCAGATCGGGAGTTTATTATTTACAATCCTTGGATCACACAGGCTGGTATGTTTCCAGGTGGACTGCGTTGACTCAAGATTATATTTTATGTGTACGCACCTGCATGCCTGTGTCCCTTGGTGGACTCTGTATTGCTGAAAGAATCTCCCTGGGCAGCAGAGTCAGGACAGGGGACAACAGGCTGCTCACAATCCAGGGGAAGACACCTTTACAAACTCTGTTCTTTCTCTGTTGCTTGACTTTGTGCTTATCTCTAGAGCCTATTCTACAGTGAATGTTGCAACTCCCTGACCCCCAAAATAAAGCAGTGGTCTTCTGAGAACTTAGGGAAACACAGAATCTGCATTATGTTAGGCTGTGAAACTGTTGTCCATCTCTCCACACTGCTCTGCAGTTCACATGGTGGACTTTTTTTCCCCTAGAGAGAATGCAGCTTTATTGGTCAAACTCATCTAGAGAAATGCAACCCAGGGAGCAAAGTAAACCCAGCGATCTTTTCTATGGCCTTTCTAAGACGAACAGATGGAGTTTCCACACAGGAATGGTTATGCAACTAGGGTAGCCATGTTTCAGGTAGGCTAGTTCTGGGATACCAGCATTCATGGTGAAGGGAGATACTGAGAAGGTAACATCCCATTGTGTGATCTCCACTGAGTGCTGCAAGACTCCTCACTTGGTTCCTTATTCTGAGTCATGCACCACACCCACATCAATGGCTTTACTGTAAAGCAAATGGGGCAAGAACATTCTTAATGACTGTAACCCCCAAGGACTGCTGGAGAGAAAGCCTTAGGCTATGTTCTTAAGTAAGAAAGGCTGGGAGGGAGAGACCTTCTGTGATGTGTGTGTGACCTCCTCCCTGGGGGACAGACAATCAAAAAGTGGATGAAGGGAGA